TCTGTCCCGCCCACTACAACAGCTGAATGTCATTGATAGGACAGCAGACTGCTGGTCTGTCCCGCCCACTACAACAGCTGAATGTCATTGATAGGACAGCAAACTCCTGGTCTGTTCCGCCCACTACAACAGCTGAATGTCATTGATAGGACAGCAAACTCCTGGTCTGTTCCGCCCACTACAACAGCTGAATGTCATTGATAGGACAGCAGACTCCTGGTCTGTCCCGCCCACTACAACAGCTGAATGTCATCGATAGGTCAGCAGACTGCTGGTCTGTCCCGCCCACTACAACAGCTGAATGTCATCGATAGGTCAGCAGACTGCTGGTCTGTCCCGCCCACTACAACAGCTGAATGTCATCGATAGGTCAGCAGACTGCTGGTCTGTCACACCTATTCACGCCCACTGCAATTCCACACTGCATGATGGGAAAAGCATGTGTGCCCTGCACAGTGAGAGGAAGTGACGTCACACTTGATTGTTCGGGAATAGGGAGAACAATTCTGTGGTCCCTTTAAGCACTGGATGATGGGGAAACATTACAGGTCATACACGGTTGTAGAATAATGCCGATCACAACCAGACGATAGATCCTGAAACTTACCCAAAATTCCCCCCTGTGGTTTCTGGTTCTCTCTCCACAGCAGCCAGGCCAGGGCATGTTTCTGGTGTGGGAGTAGAGGAACCTGGAAGATACAAAGGACAGTGAGCGACACACCAGAATATACAGTACAATGGCCGGCCCACCTGCAGTGGCCCGTCAACATTCAAGACTGCAATGGCCGGCCAACATTCAAGACTGCAATGGCCGGCCAACATTCAAGACTGCAATGGCCGGCCAACATTCAAGACTGCAATGGCCGGCCAACATTCAAGACTGCAATGGCCGGCCAACATTCAAGACCGCAATGGCCGGCCAACAGCCAAGACCGCAATGGCCGGCCAACAGCCAAGACCGCAATGGCCGGCCAACAGCCAAGACCGCAATGGCCGGCCAACAGCCAAGACCGCAATGGCCGGCCAACAGCCAAGACCGCAATGGCCGGCCAACAGCCAAGACCGCAATGGCCGGCCAACAGCCAAGACCGCAATGGCCAGCATATAATGGCCGACCAGCAGGAAGAGTATAATTTATGAGCAGTAGGCAGGGCGCGGTGCTCCTGTCTCACACCTGTAAACCTGACGGATCCTCAGCAGCAGCTTCAGGACTGGGACAGGACTCCAGACTCTTGTGCAGATGGTCGATGGCCTCACATGTTGCATTTCGTACAGCAAAGAGACGATCTTCAGTCATGCGGCCCCCATACAAACTCTGCCACTGAGGGTCTGCGGAGAGAAGACGGGGGGGGAGGGGGGGGTGGGGTATAAATGATGTGTTTACTCAGCACCAACCTCGGAATTAGAGACCCCGTGGTTGGTTTCATACCGCAGACCTGCAACTAACCCATACCAGGCCCATACAAGTCTTTATTTCCCCCACCTGACCCTAGATTGTCCCTAAAAGCAAACAGTCCCTATGCAGCTCCTATTCCTCATTGGAGCATTCCAACAGGCTTTTATCCAATCAGATGAGATCTGGTCAAGGGGCCAGTGGAAGAGGAAAGCAGTGACAGTCTCCCCCCCGTCATGTGACGGTCTCCTATCCTTGCTAACCAGGTACCAAATGTCAGGTCACCTGCGGGGTCCAAGACTCTAGACCAGTATTGTTTGTGGAAAGACAAAATCTATCAGACATGTGTAATGGAGGAGTGCAAAGACAATGTAATGTACACAATATACACCTGTCAACCGAACAAGTGCACCCATTAAAAGATTCCCCCTCCATTGTGGTGACAACTGTGAAATTTAGTTTTTTCCAATCATGACAACACAGCTTTCCCTTTATAGTTATACCGTCCCGGGATCCCCCCGCTCACCTCCGTACAGTTATACCGTCCCGGGATCCCCCCGCTCACCTCCGTACAGTTATACCGTCCCGGGATCTCCCCCTCCCCTCCGTACAGTTATACCGTCCCGGGATCCCCCCGCTCACCTCCGTACAGTTATACCGTCCCGGGATCTCCCCCTCACCTTCGTACAGTTACACCG